GGCTGGTTTGGGAAGATGTGGGACTGTGACGCTGGGCGCCTCCCCGTCCCCCGCAGCTCGCCGTGGGCTCCAGGCTCCCGGGTCCTTGCCCGCCACCTGTTGGAAAGTGGCTACTATTGAGTGAGAGTCCACAAACCCAGGCTCCCTCCCGGGCGGGAAAAGGGCCCGGGGCGGGGAAGGGGCCCCGGGGGCGGGGAAGGAGGTGGGGGGCAGGGAGGAAGGAGCCCCCTGGCGGGAAAGGGGCCCCCGTGGCGGGAAAGGGGCCCCCGTGGCGGGAAAGGGGCCCCCGGGGCGGGGAAGGGGCCCCCGGGCAGGAAACGAGCCCCCGGGGTGGAGCCCAGGCCCAGGGCTGCAGCGGCTGCACCCCGCCTTCACCACCGCAGGGTCGGGGTCCTGCGCGCACCTGGGGAGGGGGAACCGAGTTTTTGGAGGACCTGTGCAAAGGGGCGCGGGACTCATTACCGGTCAAGGTTTCTCCTCTGCAGCGCGCCTCCCTCCCGGAGACAGCGATGGAGCGTCCCAAACCCAGAGCCTTGGCCGTGACCCTGCAGGGGCCGGTCCTTAAATCACCTGAAATCGGTGACACTTCACGGGGCGGGGCACAGGAGACAGGACAGCCCAAATAGGTTCGCGTCTGTAGACCGGAACCCCGCTTCTGCGAGGACAGCCGCCTTGGTGATCTTTGGTGGTTGGGGGTGGGGTGTTGTTTCATTTTGTTTTCCGATGAGCGGGGGCAGTACTCGCCCCATCCAGGGAGGGATTTTCCCGAGCAGCCCCACCTCCTCTCGCCCTGCCCGGACGCCCCAGCTGCCCGCGGGCCACGGGTCTCTCTCCCCAACGCCTCCAGCCGGGTTTGGGGCTGGAATTGCGGGATGGGTCGCCCCGACTCTCCCGGGGAGCGAGGAATTGGCAGCGGGGAGTGTCACCGGTTGCTAGAACACCCTCAGGATCAGGCGATGGTGTTTTGGTGAAAGAAAAGGGGAAATGTCCTTTTGATTCACCTGCCCACTGCAGGCTTGCTCACACCCCAGCCTTGTCCAAGACTACCGTTCTCAATGTGTTCATCCTAATTTTATTACCAAGAGTGTTCTCGGTGGAGGCGGGGGGCGGGGCGACGCCAGGCCAAGGCGGGTGTGAGCGGGGAGCCCTGCCAGTCGCCCCACAGATCGGGGAGTAACTATATAAGCCTGGAGCTACTGTGGACTATCTTCTCTAGCACATGGGGAGAGGCTACCAGAAAATAAGGTCAACCCAGAGGAAATCAAAGCCAAGATATCGGGAGGGAGGATGAAAGAGATAAGACACCCGCCTAGAAAATAATGTTGGTGACAGTATTTGAACCCTGGATCTAACAACACCAGCCCTTTCCCTGGATAGACAAGCTGTATGAGCCAGTGAAATTGATTTTCTTAAAGTACTTTGAGTTGATCGCATTTAAATTCATCATGTTCATCTTGCTTGGAAGATTCACCCAAACAAATTGCAAAAATTGTGTCACACTGTTGAATCTGAACCATATTTCCATCATAGTTGAGCGATGGGATGGGAGATGGGGCTGGGACAGGGCACTGCAGCTAAAACATACAATTCTAGGCAGCTTTATTCAAACAGTATGGGAGAGAGAGGAAGAAAAGCAGCACAGATCAACATCCAGATACAATAGCACTAACCTTTATATTCACACACCTATAAGGCCCTACCTTACCACACAACTCCTTTTTCAAAACATAAAGAACTTCAGCCCATTATCCTGGCCTTTGGAATGGGTACAGAAAGAATTATCCAACCTGTCTTCCAAATTACAGATAAAAATTATTCTAGGAATTTCTATAACACGACAGATACAGGGAGACAGGGAGCAAGAGAGCCAATGGAACAGACACACTTTGGGCGAAGGAGAAGATTTACAACTCAGGGAACAACCAAGTATTTTTTCACATGGAGACTTCATTGTCACTACCATGATCCCTAGATGAACTGACATTCCAAGAATTCCCTGCTCAGGACTCTGCACAATATAGGATCAGCCCCAGCATCCCTGGTGGGCTCCTGGCTAAGACACTGGCTTAATGAAGCCATAATCCATGCATTTGATGAGACATTCCCGGGCTGTCTGAATCACCGCTGCCCTCTTCTCGTCCGGTTCCTGTTTGCCCACCACAGTCAGGATCTCCAGCAGCTCACTCTCCACCAGCTTCTTGGCCAGCTCAGCATCAGCCTGCAGCAGGTTGTAGGCAATGACCAGGCCCCGGTGTTGGACAGACAGCTGGTCATGCAGGCAAAGCCGTTGTAGGATCTCCAACCACTGAGTTGTCTAGAGCGGGGAAGACGGATAAGGAAGGATTGGAGGAATCAGTGGGTGGACAGAGAGAGGAGATTTTGGACAAGATAAATAGAAGGCACTGGCCAGGCCCAGAATCTGGGCTCTGAAAGGGCAAGTGAGCGGGGACTCTGGTTATGTGTGTATGGGACTCAGAATATGTGTACTTGGGCCCCTTGGAAGCAACTGCATGGTACCCATCTTACCAGAACCCGAGCAGGAATTGGAGAACTAGAAGGAACTTGAAATAATCCAATTCCTTTCATTTTAGAAGTGGAGGAACTGAGGTCCAGGGAGGGAAAGTAACTTAGCCATCTATGGTCACACATCGGGAAAGAGTAGAAAATAAATATCCACACATCCACTTCTTTTTTAAGCATCTTAAGAAGCAAAGAGACAGGCTCACTGCATGCCTGAGCAGAATGAGGGTGGAGGGTCTCAAAGAGGAGGATTCTAACGCTGGGCACATGGTCAAGGCCTATTTCTGCTAACCCAGGTGCCCCTTGAGACAGGAGCTCCAGGTATGCACTCCACCAGCCTTGACTTCAACTGGATCAACACTGGGGTTGGAGTATATCCTCTCCTCCATTCTCTCTCTCTCTCTCTCTCTCTTCCATTCTCAGGTGTGAAGCATCCCAAACATTGTGCACGGGGAAGACAGGACTCTAGATCCCTCTGACAACCCCAGGAGACAGAGATGGAGCTGAGAATAAAACCAGGAGGCTTGGCTCTTAATCATTCAACAGACATACGTGGGAAGCAGAGTAGAATACAGTGGGGCCTTGACTTACGAGGGGTACAGAAAGAATTATCCAACCTGTCTTCCAAATTACAGATAAGGCTACCAGAAAATAAGGTCAACCCAGAGGAAAACAAAGCCAAGATATCGGGAGGGAGGATGAAAGAGATAAGACACCCACCTAGAAAATAATGTTGGTGACAGTATTTGAACCCTGGATCTAACAACACCAGCCCTTTCCCTGGATAGACAAGCTGAAGGACCAGGGTTTGGGGGAGGATGGAGTGACTTACGAGTTTAATTTGTTCCGTGACGGAGCTCATAACTCAAATTACTCGTATGTCAAATCAAAAAGTGAATGAGTGAGACACGTGATGCTGGGCTGATGTTGTGGCGTTCACTGTGACGTTCGCTGCGCCAACCAGCGGTGGGGTATCTGAAGCTGGCTCGTAACCCAAATTGTAGCTCACAACTCAAAGCAAAAAATCGGCCGAGAGACGGCTTGTATCTCGAAAACCTCGTTAGTCGGGACGCTCGTAAGTCAAGGCCCCACTGTAGTTATCAGCATGGGTCTTGGAGTAAAAAAGGCCAGTGTTCAGGTCCCAGCTCAGCCACTTACCAATGGTATGACCTTGGCTAAGTTATTTAACCTCCGCAAGCCTCAGGAGATGATCCGTGGAAAGAGCTTAGCATGGGAGCTGGAGCATAGCGAGAACCCAACAAACGAAAGTGGACAGGAATGATGATTTCAGACACTAACCCAAAGATTTCCTCTGTGCGTCCTTGTACCTGTCACCTCACCCTCCATTAGTAAGCAGGAATGCCTTTCTACATACACTGCTCTGAGATGGGGAGAGGACAGGGGGGAGGAAAAGGCAAATTCTTGACTTCCGAGCTTCTAGGTAGACTTTTGCAAACTCTACACTGAGTCTCCTACCACAAAGAAAGGAAAGGAAAGTTCAGCTAGCTGTGGGAGGGTTCGGGGAAAGATTCAATGCTGGTGGACTGACTGATAATGGGCCCAATGTCCATCAGTCCCTGGAATGAGCCACTGGGGGTGAAAGGAAGGGTGATGATCCTATTGGGATAGGATCCCAGCAGAAAAAGCTGTTGCCTGGCTTTGCAGGGCATATCCCAGCAGGAGTGAGACTTAGAGAGGCCCAGCATCCAACATGGCCCCGGGGTTGTACAAAAGATGGGTCTGGCCAGCTTCAAGGAGTCATCAGGATGCCATTGTGGGGACAGGAAAGCAGCCAGTATCTCTGAGCCCCTCAGGAAGAAGGGAGATGTGGCCAGGAGTGGGTCAGCAATCCTACAGGATATCAATTCCTTCCCAGCTGACTAGCTGTGTGGCCTTGAGCTACTTTTCTGCACTCACTCGGTTTCCTCATCGGTGAAACAGGGATAATCATCATCGCACCCACTGCACAGGGTTTGGGGGAGGATGGAGTGACTTAATAGATATAGACACTTAGAGCAATGCCTGGGGCCCAGTAAGTGGGAGAGTCACAGAGCGCCCTGCAGAGGGGTGTCAGCAGGAGTTGTGTGGCCAGTTACTTTAGCAGAGGCTGCTTAGGGCCGAAGTTTCATGTGGTCCCCTGGCTAGAAGAACCCCACCCTGATACCGAATCAGAATATCTGGGGAAAGTACTTTCGCCAGCTCACCAGGTGACTCTTGCACACCTTACAGTGAGGAGAAGCTTGCCTTAAGGAAAGTGCTGAAGCCCCCTAGGTGGTAGGAACAGGGGGCCTGGGAGTGGTTACCATGGAGACAGGCTTTTCCCCAGAGGATCACCCAGGGCAATATGGTCGGGATGAGGAGAGATTCCCTAGAACCCACCCCCTTGCTGGCCTCCAGGTCCCACTCTCACCACTTGGGTCATCTTGAGGCACAGTTTCTTGTGCGCTGCTGTCAGCATGGCCAGGGCCCCTGCGGCTGCATTCTGCAACTTGTCATCATCCTCCCCGCAGAGCAGTACCACCAGCTTCAGCCGGTCATTCCCATCCGCCAGGAACCTCTCCTGTACCTATGGGAGGAAGGTCCATGGCTCAGAAAAAATGCCCTCACCTGCCCAGCCTGGGGAGGGAAAGATGCACCTGAAGCCACATTCCCTGGCCCAGGATCTCTGGGAGCTTTCCTTTGAGCAGCTCACCTATGCCACCTCCCCCTGGAAGTCTTCCCTGATTAGCTGGATGAAGGGGCTACAATCTCCTCCAGCTAAAAGGTTAATGAAAATAAAGGATTCCCCAGATAGCATGCTCCACAACCTCCGTTTGCACTCAGCTATCCACCCGGGAAAAGAGGCAGACAGACTCCTCGAGGGTAGATGTTGCCTGAAGAGCTGTGTCTCACTTCCCTTTGGGGGAAGCCTGGAATGTTTCTCTCACAACAGATGGGCCTTCAGGGTCTGCCCTAAAATGACTTTGCACCCCCTAAAGGCACAGGGGCTTGGCAGGAGCAGGGGATGTTGGGCAGTTTACTTGGTTTTAAAGAACAGCTGTACTGTCTCCACCAGGTGAGAGCTGAGGCTTTACAAGGATTCAAAAGCAGGAGAGGAGCCTCCTGGGGCCCAGGGCCCTGACAGAGCCCCAGAGCCCAATGAACCCCCCACTCCCCTTACTCCTCAGCTCTACAGTAATATCTGGTTGGTTAAGTTTAAGGGCATTTTGTTGGGTCAGGTTTCCTAGAAGTGGAGCTCCAAAAGGAGTCAAAGGTCACCGCTGCCCAGGTTATGACTCTCCCTGAAGCGGGATCAGTGGTCCTCAGAAGTGAGAGTATGGAGAGATGGTCAGTGCGGTCCCCTCTCCTGGGACACAGTTGTGAATGGGAAGCCACTGCCCCACAAGGAGAATGTTCCACCACCCCTTGCACCTAGATGCAGTCATAACCAGTTCTCAGCAGTGGGACGTGAGTGGAAGTGATGTGTGTCACTGCCAGGCCGCCGTGGCAAAGCACTACGGGTGCCTCTCCCATGGTCTCTGTCCCCATTCACCATCGGAATAGAGGCCACTCCCAAGGTGGCAGAGGAGTAGACAGTGCCTGATGATCAGAGAAGCCTGGATCCCTGAGTCACTGCTTGGAAGCGAGCCACCTGATCCAGATGTGAGTGAGAAATTTTATGAGTGAGAGATGAACTATCCTGTTAGGACCGCTGTATACTTTTATTTTGGTTGTTGCCGCAGCTGGTGCTCCCACAGGGAAGGTTGCTGCCCCTCCCACTTTTCTCCCCTCCCCTTTCCTTGGACACACTCTCTTCTCCCTCATGGCTGCCAGGCCCCCAGCCCAGCCTTAGGCCAGCTCCCTGGCAGGCCCTGGTAGCTTTGTATCTTTTGACTTTAACAGGCTTGTATGGGTCAAGTTTTCTTGCTACAACAGTGAGAAGATCCAAGACTTTAATTTAAGTTGAGGAGAAACAGAGTGTGTCCCACACTAGGCCCTCCGTGAGTGCCCAGGAGGGCCACTTGGCCTGTCCCCCACATTCACAGGGAACCGCAGATTTACACCCTGTTGTTACCTCTGATGAGGTTATACCTACAGGCACAGCAAAATACTCTAGCAGGACGCCATAGCTAGTTTGGCTCAGTGGCTAGAGCGTCAGCCTGGGGACTGAAGGGTCCTGGATTCGATTCCAGTCAAGGGCACATGCCCGGGTTGCGGGCTTGATCCCCAGTAGGAGGTGTGCAGGAGGCAGCCTGTCAATGATTCTCTCTCATCATTGATGTTTCTGTATCTCTCTCCCTTCCTCTCTGAAATCAATAAAAAAATATATTTTAAAAAATACTCTAGCAGGATGGAAAGGAGAAGACATGTATTCATCGTATGGTTACAATTTGTCCCATTACTGGACCATGAGGTCATTGACGTGTCCTGAATTCATTTTATTATAATAAATCCTGTGATTATTCTGTGAAGAGCACAGATATAGTGAAATGTAGTTTCTATGGAAACGGCAATATTTCATTCATGTTAACATTTAAAATATTCTAAAATTGTAGCTATTTTCACATTTCTTCCATATATAGTCAATGCTACCTTAGTACCATTGTATCAACCCCAGTCACGCCCGGCCCTGGCCTATGGCCCGACTCTCCATGCCTCGATCACTCCCCGTCCCCATGCCGAGCCCCCTCACCTCCTTGTTCAACACCATGTTGCACATGCACTCGGTGGCCGCCTGCCGGAGCTGGTCGTGATTCTCAAACATGTAGTTCTCGATGTCTGGCAAGGCCCTCTCCTTAAAGATCTTCTGCCTAGGGCGGGAGGAGTGGAGCAAGAGAGGCCACTGAGTTCTCCGCCGTGAACATGTAGGATTCTGGGCCACCTCGGTGCCCTTTCCCCATCCTAGTGGTATCCCTCCCACATCCTCGGCCGGCAGGGTTCCTGTGGCATTGATCCTGCCCCCAGCTCCAGGAGGGGCACCAGCGGGCATCCTGGCCACAGTGACGGGATCCAGGGTGAAAACGTCACTGCAGCATGTGTCCTGACTGGGAATAGAACCTGCAACCTTTTGGTGTACGGGATGACACCAACTGAGCCACCCGGCCAGGGCTGGAGGTTCTTTTGTATTATTGCTGAAGAAGAGAAATTCTCTTTGTCTCTTTCCTACTGGATATGAAGATGCTGCCTTGTGACTGAGGGAGAGGGGAAAAGCCCCTCTGAGAGCTAAAACACAGACAGGAGCCCAGCCGGCGTGGCTCAGTGATTAAGCAGTGACCTATGAACCAGGAGGTCACGGTTCGATTCCCAGTCAGAGCACATGCCTGGTTGCGGGCTCGATTCCCAGTGTGGGGTTTGCAGGAGGCAGCCGATCAATGATTCTCTCTCATCACTGATGTTTCTATCTCTCTCTCCCTCTCCCTTTGTCCCTGAAATCAATAAAAATATATTAAAAAAAAACAAGTAAACACACAGACAGGAGAGGTACAGGGAACCAGGCCCCAGGACAGCTGTGTAACCCCTGCATCAAGTGCACCTGAATCTGAGTCCCCAGACTGTGTTTACATGAGCCAGCGAATTCCCTTTATGCTCGAACCAGTTGGGGCTGAGTTTCCTGCCACTTGGTACCAAAAGAATCTCAACCCAATGCACTGCACCATCCCCTGCCTCTGAGAAGGAATATACTTCTCCCTCCCATCCTCCTGGGCATCTTTTTACAACATAAGAAAGAAGTCTTTTCCGTCTCCTCTGGCTTGTACGTTCTCCATGTGGTTTTTCCAAGTTAATTCCAGTCCCTCCAGTTATATGTCTTCCCGCTGCCTTTGAGCCAGCCCCTGGAGGAGAGTTTTCGCACGTGGTATATGTGCAACTCAGCCAAACACTCCAGGACGCCTGTCTTCACTCCTGCTCCTCCACACCCCGCTCACCGCAGTTTGTCGCTCCGCCCAGACAGGTTGGTGAGGCCGAGGAGGGCCTCGTAGTTCTGCAGCCCGTCCCTCTGTGTGTCCAGGAGTTTCACAAGGGGCCGCACTACCTCATATACCTGTGGGGGAGGAGTGAAGAGGGGGACCGGTGGAGGCTATGATCCCCCAGTCCCTGACATTTACAGGTATCCAGCTTTAGAATTTCCAAAGCCCTTGTCTACCCATTGGTCTGGTTTGACCTTAATGATGATCCTGAAAGGCAGGATCACTCCCTTTACTTTGCAGATGAGAGGAGTTCCCCAGGGGACAGCCCTGTGAGTCAGGCAGAGCTGGGTCTGGACACCAGGCGCCTCCAATTCATTGCCCTCTCTGTGACAACACCATGGCCCTCCCAAGCCAGGAGCAGGGTGACAAGAAGAAAGGCCCCTAAGATCAGAGGAGACCCTTCCCACTGCACCATCCCACCCACCCAAGCACCCACCCGCTCCCCGGGGAAGGCGATGTCCGGGTTGGAGACAGCAGCGATCTTTGCCAGGGCATGGGCTGCCTTCACCTTGCCCACGTCCGTGCCCTCCAAAGCCAGGGGGACCAGGGCCTGCAAGAAAGGGCATGGTCACTCCTGGGTGACAGACATCCTGTGACATTCTGCAAAGTGTGTGATTTCCCCCCATTTTACAGATGAGGAAACTGTGGCTCAGGGAGATTAAGTAATCTGCCCAAGGTTATGCAGCTGCCATGGGGACGAACAAGGACTCCATGATGAGTCTTTGGTAGCAGAGTACACGGTCTTGGTATCTGCATCATGCTTCCTTCCAGTCACCAGGGAGATGGGATTCCACAGCAAGTCACATGACACATCACAGAATCAGGCAGAAATTGGATTGGGGCCATGAGAACAGACAGCACAGTTACCTGAATGACCATATTCCAGGAGGTCGAGTGGGGACAGAGGGTACATTATTCTTGAGTCAGGCATAGAGTATGCATGCATGTGCGTATACACACACACACACACACATACACACACACACACGCTCCTCCCCAGTAGAGTACCTTTCAGGATGCCAAGAACCTTATCCCACCCAATTACCTTGCCACCACCTTGAGCCACAATGGTGCCTCGGTCCTTCGGGTTGTCACACAGTGCCAGGAACACCCTGTAGAGTAAGGATAAAGGGCATTTAATGTGCCAGCACTCCCCTCCTAGGCATCAGCAGGCCAGCCGGTCGGAGCCAGTGCAGCCCTGGAAAGTGCTGCTGGTGTGCGCGTGCACCCTGGGAAGGTGCTGCCAAGAACATAAGTGGCTGGGGAGGAAGTGAGGCTGCAAAGAGCCACCTCATCCTCATTTAGGGAGATGACCAATGGCTCCTTGCTGCCTAGGAACCAGGAGAAACACCCCAGGACCTCTGTGACCTGCCCTGTCTCCCTCTCTGGTCTTACCCAGCACTACTCGCTCCTATGCACTCCATGCTCCAGACATATTGCAGGAAAACCCCAAATGCACTCATTCTTCCTCCATCCTTGGTGTCCTTGTCTATGCTGTTCCACCCACCTGGAACCCTTCCCTCCCCTGCAGTGGAGTGGCTCCTTTGTTCCTTCAGGGTTCCCTTGAGTTGTCACATCCTCCAAAAAGCCTTCCTGGCTGCCCACCTTCCAGGCTGGCTGGTGAGGTGCCACTGCTCTGCTCCAACCAACACTCTGTCTTTCCTCCATTGCGGCACCCATTGCCTGTATTGTACTGTGAGCCTGGCTGCCTGCCCCACCAGGTTGCACAGACACTGTGCCTTTCATCTCTGAAATAGCAGGTCCCACGCCAGAACTGGGAACCAGGCAACCAGACAGTGGCCTCTTTCCTCCTGATGCCAACTTCCACTTGTGAGGACCTCCCCGCCATGTCACTTTCAATGCTGATCCCCTTTAGGCTCCTCTCCAGACCCCCAACGGCTCATTCCCTTATTTACTCCCGGCCATTTCCATCTCCCTGCCCAGCTAGGCCCAGCCCTGGCCCCTGCAGCCACACCTGGCCAGCAGCTCTTTGGTTTGGTCGGTGAGGATGGCACTGTCTGCTTTCACCATGCAGGCCAGCGCCGAGATGACGCCAGCCTTCAGGAGCCGCTTCACCCGCATGTCTACGAAGTCCTTCTTGTCCTGGGGAGACAAAAGGGTGGCAATGGGCCAGGGGCCTGGCACCAGGCCAATCTCTATGGGCACTAAGATGGCACATTTCCGACTTCTTGGGGTACTTGAATAATGGTCCCTCCAGGCGTCCATGTCCTCATCCCCAGAACCTGTGAATATGTTACCTTACATGGCACACGGGACTTTGCAGATGTGATTAAGTTACGGATCTTGAGCTGGGGAGATAGTCCTAGGTTATCTGGGCAGGCCCAGTATCATCATCGGGGACTTTTAGAAGGGAGGCAGAGGGGCAAAGTAGTAGTGACCGCAGAAGCAAAAGGCTGAAGTAATTCAAGGTCACAAGCCAAGGAAGGTGGCTTTCAGAAGTTGAAAAAGAGAAGAAAACAGATTGTGTCCTCAAGCCTCCAGAAGGAACCCACCCTACTGATTCCTTGACTTTGATCCAGTGAAATCGATTGTAGGTTTCAGACCTCCAGAACGGGAGATAATAAATGTGTGTTATTTGGGGCAGTTGTGTTTGTGGAAATTTGCTATAACCGTAATGGAAACGAATACGCTCCTCCAGATTCCCTTTGTCCAAACAGCCAAGGGGGTTACGGCATGTTCTGCCAATGTGAACGTCAGAACAACTCCCCCTCTTCCTCTGCCCTCCCCCTCCCAACACAGAGCCTGAGTAGCTGAGAGGGCCAGGAAATCAACCCCAAAGACCCTTCATTCCCAGAGGAGTGAAATGCAAGAACCATGATCCAAAACACTGCATGACCCATATGTTAGTTTTCGTGCAAATGGTTGACTTGTCATCAGGGTATGTGGCAGGTGGGAGGGTAGGGGGATATAGGCAGTGAGCAGAGCAAGGACGATGGGTCAGGTATGGAAGGCCACCAGGGTGGAAAGCCCCAGGTGCCCAGCAATAGACAATCAACTGTCGGGCGGGACCTTGCCCCCAGGGTGACTTTTCCTCCCCTGGCACATCGCTGGTCATGAGGCTTGGACCCCTGACCTTTCCTCCCTAGAGATAACATCTAGGCCTCAGGTGTGTTTCAGCTCCAGGCCCAGATAAGCAGCAAAACCAGCCACGGCTGACATCAGGACCAGCTGCATTGAATAATGACCCCCTGCCCTGCTGCTGGCCAATCATCCTGAATGGACACACCTGGAAGACTACGGAATGTTCTACTGAGATCTTCTCCTGGGACTCCCCTAAAATCTCCACCCTTAAAACCCTTAGGACGGAGGACCCAGTGCCTTTTCCTTTCCCTTCCCTCTTGCGCCCCCTCTTCCAGGTATTAGCTTCCTCACTCCCAAGCTCCAAGGGCCCTTCCTTTACCTCCATAATTTGTTTCCTAAGCCCATTTCTTCTAGGAATTACTTTTTTTAACCTCTGTAATTTACCCAATAAATGTTCTCTTACAGCTTGGGTCTCGCTCTGAATTCTTTCCTAGCCAGAACCCAAATATTGAAGTTGCTGAACCCAGGTTTGGTCTAACCCACCCCTCCCCCCAACCACCACCACCAGTCTGACACGGTGCCTTTCTGCCGCCTACAATGGGGGATGTAGGCAGGAGTGAGAGGGGATATGTCAGACAAAACTGACATAACAATGCATTGGGTTTCGCTGGAAACCCAAAGTCAACCCCAGGGTTGAATAGTCTTTACAGATAATCCTCAGAGTAGCTGGGAGAGACTGACAGTCAATCGCTAGAAGCCACCTTTGAGCTTCACAGCAGCAGTATATGCTCTGCACTCTTGCCTGGGTGAAATACTATGCAGCTTTGGAAAATGATTCAGAGAGTGACACAGCCGTGAGAAAGCACAAAGTATTTTCCCAAATTGAGTATAAAGTTATAACTACAGTCTGATTATAACCGTGAAAAGGAAAGAAAAAAGGTGCATAGAAAAAAGCAAAGCCTCTGGTAGGTAAAGTAACATACCCAACTGGGGGGGGGGGGGAATGATGTCATTGTGAGTGCTTAATTTCTTTTGTCTGCTCTCCATTTTTTTGTGTTGCAACACAGTTATATTTGATCATTTTAAAAAATCTACATTTTTTTCTGGTGGGAAGTAGGATGCATATATATTCATATGCAAACCACAAGCAAAGTATACCATTGTGTGCAGGGAATCATGGGGGCTAGTGGGGGAGGACCCCAAGGGAATTTGTGACATCTTGGCTACTGCTGATCCATGTCTCTCCTCTCATTTTTCCTACTTAGCACCCATATCCCTAAATCCAGATATCCCAGAAAATAAAATTTTTGTGTGTTGGGGACATAAAATCCAACTGTCTGATGTCCATCAAATCAACAACATAAATTGCAAAACGTTCGTCGTGGCTGTTTCATTAAAACTAAGAAAAACACGGGCGCCACCTAGTGGGAGAAATGTATCATGATCATCTTCGGTTTACCTTATGCCAAATTCTCCCAAACACACCCACGCAACACCCTGACATCACCAGCTCTCCTTTCCACCTCTCTGGAGGACTGGTGGCACAGACCCCCTCCTGGGCGGTCCCCGTCCCCACCTTGGGGTGCTCCTCGGGCACGTGCTGCTTGGAGAACTTGGCGAGCTGTACGAGCTCCGGGATGACCTCCTTGACATCGTAGCTGTTGGTGCAGTTCACCAGGATGGTGGCCACCGAGTACAGGATGGTCTTGTCAGAGGTCTGGAGGCACCGGGGAGGGGGGTAGGAGGGAGAAGGCAGAAAGAAAACTTCAGAACAAACTTCTGCTTCCAAGAAAGCTCCCCCGCATGGTCCACAAGTTGGTTTGGGCCTGAATCTAATAGATCTCTCCTGAGGCCGGAGGTCAGGGCCCTACTTGCCTTGGCCATCTCAAACATGGCCTGCAGGGCAGGGATGTCCTGGACAAAGTCATCCTTCACATCAGCATCCAGCGTCAGGTAGGCCATTCCCTCCACTGCCCATCGCCGGGTCCGGGTGTCTATGGACGCATTGCACAGCCACCTGGAGTCAGGGAGGGAGAGACGCTGGGGAAGGGCGCCAGGGCTGAGGTCAGGGCGGAGAAGCCATTTCAGGGCAGTGGGTAGCAGGTGGGGGCCTTTCCCAATCTGGTGGACACTAGGGCACCCCCCGGGGAGGAGAGGTCAGGCCTGGGGAAATCAGAACCCCCTTACTTGCGACACTGTTTGGCCAGCTTCTCCGTGGACCCTTCAGCAAACTGCCTGAGACCGTAGTCTGTGCCACCTGCAGAGCCGAGCTTACAGAGTCCCTGTGGAGGAGGGGAGACAGTGGACATCTGGAGGATCAGAGGCACCAACGCTTGGGGACAATGCCCTGCTCAAACAGGTCCCTGTGGCTGGAACACTTTGCCCCTATTTCTTTGCCTGGATAAACCTCTATTCATACTACAAAACTCAGCTCAGGTGTCACCTCTTCTGAGATGCCTTCCCTGAGGCATCCAGGTGAAGGAAGGAAAAAGCTGGAGGTATATATATACAATTGACTGATTGATTTTAGGGAGAGGGAGAGAAACATCAATGATAAGAGAAAATCATTGATTGGCTGCCTCCTGCACACCCCCTACTGGGGATCAAGCCCACAACCCGGGTATGTGCCCTGACCGGGAATCGAACCCTGATTTCCTGGTTCATGGATCGATGCTCAACCACTGAGCTACACCAGCCAGGCAAGCTGGAGGTTTTTACCCTAACCCCTTTCCTCCACCATTTGACCCCACAGATGTTTTGAATGCAATTTTGAAAAATTAGCACAAGATGATACTAATCCTATCTGAAATTGCAGTGGTGAGATTTGTCAGAGCACAGAAACTGGCAGAGAAATCCTATCGTGTGGGTAACAAATTCAGATGTACAGAATTTTGCTCAGGAAATTTGGACTGTTTTTAGAAAGAAAAAAAAAGTCTTCCATAAGTGAAAACTCACAGTGCCAGAAACTAAAATTTGTTTTTTTCTAAATTGATACAAACAAAAGAAGATAAATGATTCAAATCTTCACTATAATTGTTCACGAGGAACAGGTCAATGAAAATAATTTCTATAAAATGAAGATGGAAAAAATAAAGCAGGTTTGTGCCGTATAGAAACTGATTGATCAAATAAACTGACTTTTTGGAGTTTGCTCTAAAAATATTTGCCGGATAAAACCCATCAGTGTTCGTGCCATTCGGAAACATGGAGGAGGTGAAAAAGATGAAGGGATTAAGAAAAACAAAAAAACGAAAAAAAATCCACAACTCATAGACAAACAACAGTGTAGTGATTACCAGAGGGGAAGGAGGGTGTGGGGAGGTAGGAAAAGGTAAAAAGAAGAAAGAAAGCAAGGAGGTGTCAGAGGTTAAATGTAGGCCCGCTGTTCTCCATCTATGTTCTCACAGCCTCCTACACATCACACTGCTCTGCAGGGCCCCGTGATGCCCTCGGATGGTAACCTCCTCAAGGACAGGGGCTAAGCCTCATTCATCCTGATGCCCCTGGTGCCTGGCATGGTGTCGGGTACCGAGCCCACTCACCACCAGAGTGCGGATCTTGATCTTCTCGTTTTTGGTGGTCTTGTAGATCTGTTTGAGCAGCGACACGCCATTGGTGATGATGAAGGTGGCGCGGCTGAGCTTGGTGGAGGCATGGATGAGGGCCTCCACGGCCACCAGCTGGTCTACCTCACGATCCGAGCCACACAGCGCCACCATCATCTCCATCACTCCTTTCAGCCCCAGCAGCTGATTGCCCAGGTCAAAGGGGCCTTGCAGGACTCCCGACACTGTCTGGATGGCAATCACATTCTTGTCCATGTTCTGGGGGTCAAACTTGCCCCTAAAAGAGAAGGCGAGGGTGGAGGAAAGTGTGAGATTTGGGGGCAGACAGAGTTGGATTTGCATCCTGGAGTCACCACGCATATGCTGTGTGACCGTGGGCAATTCACTGAACCTCTCTGAGTCTCAGCTTCTTGATCTGGAAACTAAGGATAGTTCTACTACTTCACAGACTTACGATGAGGATACGTGACATAACGGATGTGTCAGGGGTTGTGTTCCCCAAGAAGCACACTCTGAGACAGGGATTGCCATGTAGGAAGACGTTCACCCAGGGAAGATTAGAGACCTCCAGTCAACAGCCAGCACCAATGTGCCAGGCATGTGAGTGCACCATCTTGGAAGCAGATCTTCCCGCCTCAGTCAAGCCTTCAGATGACTGCAGCCCAGGCCAAGAAAACCCAAAGCCAGAACCACCCAGTGAGCCATTCCCAAATTGCTTTCTTTTTATAATAAATGGTTGATTATTATTGTTTTAAGCTGCTAAGTTTAGGGGTAATTTGTTACACAGCTATTGATTACTAATACAGAGGCCGACCCATGAGGCCCCCCGGAAACTCACGTGATGTACTCCTCACAGATCTTGCGGAAGTGATCGCGTTCTGGGTCGCAGCGCAGGTCGTCATAGAGCTTGTTGATGAGGATAGAGGCCAGCATGCGGGTGTTGTCGGTCAGGGGCAGGCAGGACGGCAGATCTGGAACCTGCCCCACCACCTTCAGGATCTTCCTGAGGCCTGCAGGACCGATGGCAGCGGCAAATGTAAGACCCCTGCTGGGCTCTGTCCAGCCCAGTTTGCAAAACATGCAACCTCAACATTGCAGCTTTTCATTAGCACGCCAGGAATTTAAGTTCGTATTATTTTTACCCAAGTGCTATTCATTTTGATGCCTAGAATAATACTATGGCTCCCCACCCATCCTACACCACAAACCGTGTGGTTGGGCCTAGATCCCCGTGCAGAGGGAAGAGGTCTGCTCTTGGTGCTCAGCCTTTGTAATATATGCAGAGAAGACCAGAACTGGGGCCAAAGTGCTGGGGGTGAGGCTTAAGCACTAGAGTAATTCATTAATGTGCACTTTGCTGAGATCTGTGAAAACCAATCAAGGGAACTGCAATATCAAAGTAGAATGAATTTCAAGCTGGTAAAGCTGACTTGGACCTTTAAGAACAATGAATAGTATAAACGCCATTAAATGTGCAAGAGAATTTTTTGTAGCAGATTATACAGCCACAATAAAAGATGTCAATTTAGGAGAGGATAACACCCAGAGCTAACAAATTCCGTGACTATCTTCTAGAACATTCTTCCTGGGCTTAATATAACGTGCAGGCGATGCCATCTCTCCCTTCTAGAAGGCCTTGCCAACCATGAGACTTCAGGAGTGTGACCCTGTGGTTGGTGGAATTCTGTTTGTTCTTTAGCACTTACCCCTGTTTGTCAGGAAACTTCACCCAGATAAGATGTTTTTGGGTGTATTTAGACATTTTCTGGGTATGGCCAGGCGTGTAACTCAGAGACTTGACCTCTGCCTTCACCAGCCCGCTAGTGGATCCTAACCTGGCTTTTCCATTGGGATTGAAGACTTCTTCCACGTTCTGCCCAGGGCAAGGTACCCTGGTGCCCACGGGAATGCTGGAGTGAGCCCAGGCCCGCCCACCTCCTCACCGTTGTCCACCACGTAGATGGTGCGTGAGTTGTCGTGAACGGAGAGGTCCTTCCGGGGGACGTTCTTATTGAGCAGGTTCAGGGCCTGGTCCCTGCCCTGGCCGGACACCTTCTTACTGACCAGCATGTCGAGCAGGTGACTGGTGATCTGCTTCAGGTCCTTCTTGGTGTCTGAGGGAGGAGAGAACAGGGATAAAGAGAGAGGACCAGGGAGCCTCGGGTATTTAGGACCAGGAATGGAAGAGGCTTCTAGAAGGACTCTAGAAATATCAAATCTACTGCTTCCTGGATATTGGAATTTCCCAGGAGCGTATAGTATTGTCCACCTCAACCCCCCAAAAAGGAGGGAAATCCCTAGACAACACTTGGGGGTCCTCCAGCCACTCTGTGCGCTGACTTCTACTACAGCCCATTCCATCCTTGGACAGCTGCTTCTTCCTTCCAGGTCATGATTGGCAGGGACCCAGGGATGCTTTGTGTAGTTTTTAATGAACTGACTTAATAAAACGTTTTCCAGAAAGGAAATGTGTACCCCTTACAGGCATCTCACTCCCCACAGATTCAGGCAGGCCGGGCGCCCGAATGCAAGCCCCTGTCTGGGGTGCCCGGTCCTCCCTGCCCACTGGGAAACTCAAAAGGCAAATAAATGCCTCTTCCTGCTTTGCCCCGCCTGACCTCTCTGAGATTTGGAGACTTTTGTTCTCATTCTAGGGTGGAGCCCAAAGGCAGGCAGACAGGGAGGAAGGCTTTCCAAACGATGTCATGTAAATAAACGTTGAAGGAATGAGGCTATCTGGATAGAGAAGGAAGGAAGGAAGTGGACATGATAGCCCGTTTGCGGATAGAGATTTGTCACGAGGGTGAGATAACAGACTTACTCTGTAAGGCCGCGGAGAACAAAATTGGGACCTGAGGTGGGTGGACGCCACAGGGACATAGATTTGAAATCAATATATAAAATATTTTAGCAGATAGCTAATAGCTCACTACCTCACAAGGAAGTCGTGTCCCCCAGTAAGCTGCACCTGTCATTATTCATGCTCTTGGGGAGTCCCCTCCGGCACTGGGCCAGGGCTGATCATGTGACTGACAGCACACCCAGAGGCTTAAAAAGCACTTGCACACTGGGCTTGTCCATTTAGAATCCAGCTGCCATGTTACATAAAAATCCAAGCTGGCCCAGCTGGCCTGGCTCAGTGGTTGAGCCTCGACCTATGAACCAGGAGGTCACCGTTCTATTCCGGTCAGGGCACATGCCTAGATTGCAGGCTTGATCCCCAGTAAGGGGCGTGGTAGAGGCAGTCAATCAATGATTCTCTCATCATTGATGTTTCTATCTCTTTCCCTCTCCCTTCACCCTGAAATCAATAAAAATACATTTTTTAAAAAATCCAAGCTGCCCACTAGCGAGGCCACAAGGAGTAAAACCAATATGCCCTGGCCAGCATCTCCAGGTAACCACCACCCATACGAGTGAGGCCCATTTGGACCCTCCAGCCATTCTAGTGCAAAAAGGAACCTGACTTGCTGACCATCACAACAGTAAGTCCAAACCATATCAAGAATCCAGGACTCCAAAAGTTAATAGTATTAACCTACAGAGAGAGCTCTTATGAATCAATAAGAATGCACTGATGTCCCAGTAGAAAAAAATAAGCAATGGTGTGAACCAACCACTCAAAGACAAAGGCATCCAAATGACTAATAAAGATAAAGAAAATTATTAATCGCACTAGATCATTTTTGCCTGCTGAAAAGGAGAATCTATTTAAGAATGACAGTATTCAAATCTGGTGAGAATGATTTGAGACTGGAACTCAACGTCACTTGGTGACAATGAGTACAAGTAGATGTACCCTCTCAGGAGGGAACTTGAAAGTAGATGGAGAAAGAACATCCATTATGTTCATAGCCTTTGACCTAGTACTCCCATTTCTCAGAACCTGTGCCAAGGAAATAACTACAAGTACAAATATATGTAAAGAATGGCAGCTGGCGTGTTTCACAAACATGCAATTAGAAACCATTGAAATCTCCAATAATATAAAGCTGCCTGACGAATCACGATACATCCATACAATTAAATATAATGAAATTATCTAAAATCACGTTCCCTTTGAGTGACCCTGCTTCTGTGACCCTGCCAGGCAGGGCAGGGACTTCTAAAATGATGCCTCAGACCTGGGTGTACAGGAAGGAGCAGGAGTCTATACGTGCATGTATGTAGGAATGAGACAAATGTAAAATTAATTTGATAAAATGATCAAAGTCAAAAGGAACCCTTTTAAAGAATAGCAAATGGTATGCAATACTTACATAATGTTCAGTGAAGAAAAGATACAAAACTATCCATAGCCAAATTCCAATTTTGTTAAATAGATATTTATATGGATGGATAGAAAAAAAAGGTTATCAGGAGGGGTAATTACAGGTGAGGTTTTTTTTTTTTCATTTTTACATATTTCTAAATTTTTCCAAATTTCTCCAATGAGCCTCTGTTACTTTTTAAAATTGTGGTAAAGTATACATAAAATAAACATCATTTTAATCGTTTTTAAGCACAGAGTTCAGTGGCATTAAGTACATTCACATTTTGTACAACCATCACCACCATCCATCCCCAAAACTTTTTCATCTTGCAAAACTGAAACTCTGTACCCGTTAAATAACTGCTCATTTCTCCCTACCCCATCCCTGGCCACCGTCATTCTACTTTCTGTTTCTAAGAGTATGACAATTTCAGAAGCTGCATCTATATGCAATCATACCATATTTGTCTTTTTGAGACTGGCTTATGTCACTTAGCATAATGTCCACAGGTTCATCCATGTTGTGTCATGTGTTACAATTTCCTTCCCTTTTAAAGCTGAGTAAATATTCCATTGTGTGTGTATATATATATATTTTTTGTTGTTGTTCATCCATTCATCTGTCGATGGACACTTGATTTGCTTCGACCTTTAAGTTATTGTCCCTAATGCTGCTATGCATCTGTTACTTTTATCATCGGAAAATACTGTATGACAATAACACCAGACAACCTCCACATACAGGAAATTCCCAGGCTGAGGGGGTAGCAGACTCTCCCTTGCCCCCAACCTCCGGAACCAAAACTGAAGCCTGTCTCCTACCTAGAACCAGGGCCTCCTCCTTCCCTGGATGCTCCCGCTTGTCCTCCCCAGACAGAGAGTCGATGATGGCCTGGAGCAGGTTGCAGACGGCCAGGGACATCTCCTCATTCTCCACCGCCATGAGGCTGCAGATTCGGTCTATCCGGACTGCGTGGAGCAGCACCGTGGCCTGGACCCCCACAAACCACAGTCAGTCATGCCGGTTCAGGAGTGGAAGCTAACCACCCCGTGCAGTAGGGAAATGAGCCCATGCCTCCTGGCCCAGGGTCTGGGGATGCCCTGACACAAGCCATGCCCCTTGCCAGAGGTTCAGAGCCACTGGCCACATGGAGTCATTGAGCATGTGTATTGGGACCGTTCACGTTGAGTGAGAGGTGCTATGAGTGTAAAGTATACACTAGATTTTGAAGATGTAGCATGAAAAAGTGTAAGCTATCATAGCCTTTGCATTCAGCTCCTCCTCTCAGATGACTTTCAATTGCCTTATGTTCACATAGACCCATTTCCAGCTCTGAGGAAAAACAGAGGAGCAATCTCTGTTGAATCCGGGACCATACAACCAAAGTATCAGGGTCCATTTATGCCAGCCACACCCTGCCCACATGTCACCCTTCCAGGTCCTTGCCCGGGCAACCATTCATGCCAAGCACCCAGACCCGTGCCTACGCCCAGGCCCTCACCCTAGCTCGGTGGCCACTGCACATGCCCGACAGGGTCCGCACTGCAGCCAGCACCAGCTCAGGCCTCTTCGTGTCAATGAGCTGCAGAAGCAGGGCCACTCCATTGTTCTGGAAGATCCTTTCAGCTCCTGCTTCTTCACGACCCAGTACAATGAGGTTGTTGGCAGCCTGAAAGAGGGAAGAGAAAGTGACGGTCAGGAGGAAGGTTTGGCTGTGGAGGCCTTAGCCCTGGGCCAAATGCAGGTTCTGGTTCAAGAACTGAGTCTTCAAAACATCTTTATATTCTTTCTCCCTATAATCTTACTCCTGGAAAAATAGCCCAAGAATATCATTCAAAAGAAAGACACAGTAACTTGCATAAAGACCAACTTGATGAACTATATTGCAATCATTAAGGACATAAATAAAAAGACTACCAAGCAACTTGTAAAAAAAAATGCTTAGCAGAATCAGAATCATAGATTCAACTCTAATTGCACTAATGTTAAAATAAAACTAGCCAGTTTGGCTCAGTGGATAGTGTCAGCCTGAGGACTGAAGGGTCCCGGGTTCAATTCCAGTCAAGGACACATGCCTCCGTTACAGCCTCAATCCCCAGCCCTGGTCAGGATGCATATGGGAGGCAACCAATCGATGTGTCTCTCTCACATCCATACTTCTCTCTGTGTGTGTCTCTCTCTCTCCCTTCAACTCTAAAAATCAATGGAAAAAACATCTCAGTGAGGATTAACAAAATAAATAAATAAATTCTATATAAAAAAAGGCTAATATGCAAATGTCCTCTTGGGAGTTCAACCAACTGGGAGTTCAACCCCTCGCTATGACGAGCACTGACCACCAGGGGCAGCACGGAATGCAGGAAGGCCCCAGCCAGCAGCTGGCAGCCAGCAGCCGGGGGAAGGAAGGCCCCGATTGGTCCTGATTACCAGCCAGGCCTAGGGACCCTACCCATGCAAGAATTTCGTGCACCGGGCCTCTGGTAAATAAATAAATAACAAAACATTTCTGCTTATGGATAAGGACTTTAAAAAGGTAGAGAAGTGTTAAATTAATTCAATAAGGCCAGCGCTCACCTTCTCCAGCCTATCAGCTTCACTCTTTTCGTCCAGGAGGATCTCAAACATATTCTGTACCCTCGAGTCTGTGGAGAACTGCACGCGCAGCTGAGGAAGGAAACAGGCGGAGGTCCGTATTTCAGTCCGCTCCACATGAAGTTCCTCTCAGTGAATATTAGGGCACCTACTCTGGGCCCCCCCGCACTGTCATTCATTCATTTATTCATTCATTCAACCGACGTTTACTGAACAACTACTACATGCCAGATGCTGTTGCAGGTGCTCAGATGCCAGGGATAGAATGGTGAACAGAAGCAAGTCTTTGCCCCACAAAGCTTACAATCCAGTTACATCCACTGTCCCATTTGGTCATCACACATCTTGGAAGGCAGGGAATCATCACCCCAATTTTGGAGTCTAGTAAACGGTTAGCTATTCGACATTTCAGTATGGGCTCAAACAGAAATATGCCTCCAGGATCAGGAACCTGAAGCAGTTTCAAAGTAGCTCCTCAAGCAGTTGACACCATTATGTGTAGATGCCTCATTCCTCACAATCCCAACCCCAACCCCAGTGCCCTGAGGCTTTCATAAAATGACCAAACTGATCATCTTCCCATCTCACCAGCTCCTTCTGTACCTCCCACTACGTTGCTGTGCTGGTCCACACGCCCTCCTATTTCCATCCGGGCCTGCAGGGCAGGGAGGGTCTCTCACGCAAGGCCCTTTCTTTGGTCACTCCTTAGTTCGCATTTCCTCAGCTCTGCGTCCACATTCTGGACAATGGACCCACCATGGGGCCCCACCATGGGGTTGCCCCAGGCACATAGGAGTTACTGAGTCCGGGAGCCAGGAGCTGAGTGATCCGTTACCCTCCTGCTCCTACAGAGGAGAAACTAACACCCCAAGAGGTCCCTCAGAAAATAGGTAGCTATGGCAGGACTAGGGTGCAGGAGCTCTCATCTCTGGTCCAAATTCTCCTCACTTCACTCCATTTTCCTAGAAAAGATTTCCTATTCCTACTGGCTCCTGACTCTACTCTATCTGCCACCAATTACGCGACCCCCCCACCCCTGATTCCTAGGTATCTCATGCTGCCTTTATCCTCCTAGAAATAGGAGAAGAGTTGCAGTTATACTATTGCAATTTTAAAAAACAACAAGTAAAAGACCCATGTTCTAGTTGTGCTGGCTCGAACCCTTAAACAAGCATCCCAGCACCTCTGGTCACTCACACATGGGGCAGCTGTTCAGCTGCTTGGTGGTACCCGCTCGTGCCACGTGTTCCCAAGGACTAGCCTTGCCCTGACGCCCTGCTTCTCTAACATGCTGCTGCCAGGAATGGGGGGAGGTAGCCAAGACTTGTGGGCAGAGGTCTGGCTCACCTTCTCCTGAATGCTAGTATTGAGCCTCCTCAGTGTCTCCTGGAAGTTCTGGTTCCGTGGCTCAAGGGTGGCACAGCGCTGCACGTCCTTGAAGGCCTGGTCCAGCTTCCCCAGGTGCTCCAGTGCCTGGCATCGCCGGTACAGGGCCTTGATGTCCGAGGAGTTGATGTCAATGGCTGGGGAGGGTGACAGGCAGGGCCTTAGCAGGCCAGGCTACAGACCGCCTTTCTTCCTCCCCTGCCATTGCCCGCAATCTCTTCCTTTGAGATTACCTACCCAGATAGACGATTGGCCCAGAGCTCCCCTTTGCTCAGGAGAGAGTAAAAATCATAGTCTCAAGGCTAGAAGGAAGTTTGAGGGTCATCCTGCCCAACGCCTGATGCTCCAGAATCTGCTACGTGACGATCCCTGCCAAGCGTTCATCCAACTGGTGCTTGCCTCCCTCAAGCACTGGGGAGCTTTCTCCTCCAGGCAGCCCGGCAGCTCCACCATCAAGCCCTTCCCTTTTCCTCCCTGAAATCCATCTCTCTGTAACTTGGCCCTTCTATCCTACATTCAGCCCTGGAACCCCCAAGATGAAACCCAATCTCTCTTCCTCATGACAGCATTTGCTTTTTAGGGGTTTGAAGGCAGCGCTCCGTCCCACCTGGGAGTTGCCTTCTCTGAGCTAAATATTGCCACTCCCCTTGACTGCTCTTCACAGGATGTTTCCAGTCCCCTCTCCAGCTGGTTCCCGACCTTCTGAACTCACGCCAGGCTATCCGTTTCCCCTAAAAGAACGGTAACCGGGTCAAAACCCAACACAGACCTGCGGCCAAGAGATCATGCCCTTCAGCCAATGTTGACTTCTGTTTATTTTTTTATGTTTATTTCTCCTAGTGGTCGTGGCACAAGCCAGGGCCTCCCTCTTCCCCAGAGGAAGCCTGGCTTCCACGGCGGCGAGGACTGGGTTGATAGGCCCGGTTCTGGGGTCCCCCATGGCAATATCCTAATTTTCAACAAACGGGGTGTATGCCACACCATGAAAAAGATTCCCAAAAGCATCTCTTAAGAAAAGAAACCACTGCACCATATTTAACATGCAACCCCATTTGCAAAAATGTGACTTAGACATAGATGGCACATAGGAAGCCCCGCCTACAAGGCCTATGATGACGCTTACACAATTTGTAATTCCTTGGAGCAGGGGTCCTCAAACTTTTTAAACAGGGGGCCAGTTCACTGTCCCTCAGACCGTTGGAGGGCCGGACTATAGTTTTAAAAAAAACTATGAACAAATTCCTATGCACACTGCACATATCTTATTTTGAAGTAAAAAAACAAAACAGGAACAAATACAATATTTGTATTTGCATGTGGCCCGCGGGCCGTAGTTTGAGGACCCCTGCCTTGGAGTGTCAAGAGCCTCTTAGACAAAACAGAGGGGTGAGGTCAGGGCCAAGGGGGGTGGCTCACCTCTGGAGGCATCTGAAGCCGCCTGAGCATAGCTCTCCTGAGAAAAAGAAGGAAGAGACTTGATTAATGTGGGCCCAACGCAGAGACAGCCTGAGAGGGTCTCCACGGGAAGGCAGGGGGGGGGGGGGGGGGGGGGGCGGCAGTTGCTGGGAGCTTCCAGCTGTCAGAGGCCATGGGGAGGGCCTCTCGCTGGTTGTGGAAAAGTGGGTGAGCTTTGGCATCAGGCAAACTCGGGTTTGAATTCGGGCTCTGCTACTAACTCCCTGGGAAATCTTCAGCAAGTTACTGAACCCTCTGAGCCTTGAGATTCTTATCTACAGTGTGGGCAGCTGCCTCCCGGGCTGTTGTTAAGATGCCACAGAATAACATATGGGGAGCCCCTGGCTGGTTTGGATCTGGGGGAATTGCTGTCTGCCAGAGGAGTGGGTCAGGCTGGTAGGTCTAGGAAAGCAGTGAGAGGTGCCCCTCTCCAACCTGAAGGGCCCAGGTGAGAGGGCTGGGATGATGGAGGATGGATAACGCCTGCATCCCAGCCCCCGCCCTCAGCCCCCCGCCCTGGCTCCGCACCGTTTTCAGGCCACAGGCCGCCCTGTTCCGATAGAGCGTGGCCAGCAGGGCCTTGTCCTTGGTCAGCTTCAGGGCCTGGCTGTAGCTCTTGGTCGCGGCCTTGTAGTCCTGGAGCTGGAAGTGCCTGTTCCCTTCCTCCTTCAGCTGCACAGCTTCTATCTCCGCCATCTGTCAGGATAAGACGACTCTGTGTGGCCAGCTACTCACCCCGGACCCAGGGCTGGACTCCTGGCTTGAGGTCTGGAGCTCCGGGGTCCCCTCTCACCAGGACGGAAGGTGAGGATTCTGCCTGGAAGAGACCTACGCCCAGCACCCTGAGGCCACTGCCCAGAAGAACATTACAGCTTCTGCTTGGAGCATGGGCCGCGATGGGAGGGAATCTCAGCAGCCCTGTGCCTCCCTCCCAGCTGGGCAGGTGAAGTCACCACCACAAAGGCCTGAACTCTCACTGCAGACCCTAAAGGTGCGTGCCAGCCCCCCTCTCCCTCCCAGGCCCGGGAACAGTCCCACTGGCTCACTTTCTCCTAAGGACGCTGCTCTTGGTCTGTTCTCCTGCGACGCTGCTCCTCTGAGCTCCGCTGTGAGCCCCCAGCCAGTCAGCCTCGGTCTGCCCCTCCCAGGAGACTTTATCGCCCCTGCCAGTGGCTCCAGACCATATTTGGACACAGGGGCAGGTGCCCCTGGAGCCTGTCATTGATACTCAGGGCCCTCCCCGTCCCCAGACTGGACAGTCAGTACCACGTGGAGGTGGGAGCTGACTAACGGAGGCCCCAGCACCTTGCTCGGGGGCTGTCCTGGGGGCTCGGCACTCATACCCCAAAGAGTGAGAGAAAAATCCAGAAGGTACGGGAACCCCCTGGCAGATCTGCTTCTCTAGGCACAGCTCTGATGCCCCTTCTCCACCTCCATCCCAAATCAACAACCTCTCCTCCCTCCCCCAACCACAGCTATTTTGGGAGCAGAGTGACAGCTGAGGGGCTGACAGACGTGGAAGCACAGGGCAGCTGCCCAGGTCCCGGAGGAACGGGAGGCTTCCAGAAATGCCCTCTGGAAGGAGGAGGGAAGAAAAGGCAGGAAAGTTCCTTCCCCTGTTCCGCTTGTCCACAACTTTCCTACCCTCTGGCATTCACTTGTTGAAAATGCCCTTGCTTTACAGAAAGACCAGCAGACTTGTTCACTCCCTTAAATGTAAGTGGGTTCTGAGGGAAGGGGAGGTGGGGGAGGTAGAAGAAGGTGAAGAGAAGATAAATGGCAATGGAAGGAGACTTGACTTGGGGTGGTAAACACACAATACAATATACACAGATGATGTAGTGTAGAATTGCATACCTGAAACCTCTATCATTGTATTATCCAATGCCATCCCAATCCTATATAATAAAAGGCTAATATGCAAATCTACCGAACGGCGGAAGGACCAGTCGCTATGACACACACTGACCACCAGGGGGCAGATGCTCAACGCAGGAGCTGCTCCCTGGTGGTCAGTGCACTCCCACAGGGGGAGCACTGCTCAGCCAGAAGCCGGGCTCATGGTTGGCCAGCGTGGTGGTGGTAGCGGGACCCTCTCCTGCCTCCATGGCAGCACTAAGGAATGGGCCTAAGCTGGCAGTCGGACATCCCCCAAGGGCTCCTGGATTGTGAGAGGGCGCAGGCCAGGCTGAAGGACATCCCCCCCAAGTGCACAAATTTGTGCACTGGGCCTCTAGTAAATACAATAAAAAAGTAAGTGGGTTCTGTTTTTTATTGTTGACACTATTACAGATGTCCGTAACACCTCCTCACCCCCCTTTTAGCCTCTTTGGGTTCTGTTTTGATCTGCAAGTCTTCCCATGTTCCTCCACTTTTGTAGTGAGTGAATATACTCAGCCTGCCTCTCCTGTCTGACTGGGAACTCCCTGAGGATGGGCTCTGTATATCCCCCATCAGACTGCAATCTTCCCCTACAGCAAGAGCTGGGTCAGCCTGGGAATTCCCAGAGACCAAGGACTGTACCCCCTATCTGATTGTACCCCCTCTTCCTCATCAGAAAGGAATCTTCCTGAGATGGGAACTATGTATTACCACTAAAGAAGGTCTCCCCCTGGGGGATGGGGCAGGAATTGTTTCTCCCCATCCAACTGAGGGTTCCTGAGGCAAATTTATGAGGTTGTCCCCACTTGGACTCAGAACTCTCTTGCCTTTCAGTGTCTCCAAGCCTGAGCTGTGAGCTCCCTCTTGGAGGGAAGAATAGCATCTCATGCAGTTTGACTTCCCCTGGTGCAGATGCTGGGCAGAGTCAGTGTCCAGTGTGTGTTTCCTGAATAAATAGATGAACGAATGGTGTCTTCATGCTGATGCTTTGCTTCACTTACCACTAATGTGCCCCCCTCCCTATGTATCTTCAAACTTACCAGACCCTGGCTGAGAAAGACATGAAGAAAAAGCTTAAGTGGGTTACCCACACTAGATTCTGCTCCTGGCCCTGTGACCTTGAACACACAGTTATGACCTTGGACAAGTTCCAGCCATGATGCATGTTTGTCTAATGTATGTTTGCTGACTAAATAAATAAATAAATGGATGGATGGATGAATTCCCTGAGCTTATGGTGTCCCAAACCCTGGGTCCCTTTGTGGGGCAAGTTCTCTGTTCCATGAAGTAATATGACAAAGGATCCTGCCATTGGCAGAGAACTGCAGTTCTGTGACTTAAGGTCTGATGAATCCCAGATTCAAATCCTGATTCAGTGATTTATTCCACAAGCACTTCTTAAGCACCTACTATAGGCCAAGAACGGTAAAGGATCACGAAAACAGAGAACACTCATGAGGACAGGATTTATGTCTATTTTGTTCACTTGCATATTCCAAGTGCCTATAATAGTGTGTGGTGTGTAGTAGGTGCTCAATAATATTTGTTGAATAAATGGTGAAATAATTCCATAAATCTGCAATTTTAAATATGAGAAATATTGGGATGTTTTTGAAAACATATAATAGAAAAACATGACCTCTTTTTTAAAAAGGCTTCCCTGAGGACATGATTAAAGGAGTTAATATATGGAGAGCTCCTGACCTAGAACAATGCCTGGAAGAGAGTAAGGGCTTAATATACCTGTTGAATAAATGAATGAATGAATGAATGAATGAATGAATAAATGAATATTTAAGGCAAGACCTGAAGAACGAGAAACTTTTATATTAGTGTGTGGTAGCTGCCATAACAAAATACCACAGACCAGGTGGCTTAACGTCAGAAATTTATTTTCTCACAATTCTGGAAGCTAAAAGTCTAAGATCAAGGTGCCAGCAGGGCTGGTGTCTGACGAGACTTCTCTTCCTGGCTTGTAGGCAGCCCACTCTCACTGTGTCTTTACCCAGCCTCTTCTCTGTGTGAGTGCAGAGAGAGCTCCGGTGTCTCTTCCTCTTCTTAAACGGACACCAGTCCTATGGGGTCAGGGTCCCATCCTTATGACCTCCCTTAACCTTTATGACTTCCTTGTAGGCCCTATCTCCAAATACAGTTACTTGGGGGTCAGGGCTTTAGCATTTGAATCTGGGGCGGGGCCTGGGAGGAGGGGGTGGGGGAGGTGTACAATTCAGTTCATAACAGTTCCAGGCAGAGAAAACTGCATGTGCAGAAGCACTGATCCAGGAAGGGTCATGCCTTGGAAGAACTAAGAACCCAGGAGGATTTGATCTTAAAGGGAGAGGAATGGCTGGAGAGATAAGTAAGGCTGAATAAGGAGTTTTATAATAAGACCATTCTAAGGAGTTTGAATTTTTTTCCTGCGTGTAATATGAGCCACTACAGGGTTTTAAGTGGAGAGAAACAGACCAGATTTTTTTTAAATTCTTTTATTTTTTATTTTATTTTTTATTGTTTTATTGCTTAAAGTATTACAAAGAGTATTACATATGTCTCCTTTTTTCCCTGCCCTCAGACCAGATTTTTTATTTAAAGTCATCACTCTGGTTGCAGTGTGGAGAATGCATGGGAGGAGGCAAGAGTGGAACCAGGGAGGCAAGTGAAGAGGTGTGGGAAACCATGTGACTCAGAGCAGAGTGGCAGTGGAGAGGGAGAGAATAGATTCAAGACAGGTTAACCCTGCAGAACTGACAGAGCGTGAGACTGCCTGGGTGTGCGGGGCTAGGAGAGGAGAGCTGACAAGGGAAGTCCCAGGTTTCTGGTAAGAGTGCTCATGTTCTTCATTCTCTGCTTCAGTTCCTCATCTATAACACGGGCAGAAAAGGGTTGTTGGGAGGATTAAGGGTTATATGTGTAAAGCACTTAGAACAATTGCTATCATTGGCATTATTATTGTTATTGCTTTACAGTGATGATAACTGTAGACATTTTCTGCTTTTGTACTCGTCAATTATTAATTGATCTGATCAATTTAAAAAATAATAATAAGGGGAAGGGAGTAGGGGGAGGTTGAAGAGGGTGAAGGAGGTCAAATAGATGGTGACAGAAGGAGACTAAACTTTGGGTGATGAGCACACAATGCAATATACAGATGATGTATTCTAATACTGTACCTTTGAAACTTGTATGATCTTATTAGCCAATATCATCCCAATAAACTTCAATGTTTTTAAAGAGTGATTTATTTCTGAGTGTGTAAAGTTATAGTGATTTTTATTTCATTCTTTTTCTTATCCATATATTCTAATTTTTCTAAATAGACATGTATAATAAAAATACAATAAAAGTCACGTTTTCAAATAAAAAAGAACAATAATTTCTGCCCTGAACCCAACAGTCTCTGGCTTTGTAAGTCATCGCCTACAGGGCTGCTTGCTGCCTGGAGCCTATTCAATCTTCTGTCTTTTTCTCTCTCTGTGACCTTTGGGAAAATCAGCCGCTCAGAGCCTCGATTTCCCCATCTGTAAAGTGGGGCAGGTATCCCTGTTCTGGAGACAAGTCTACATTCTGCAAGGCACTGGGAGAGACTGCGTGGGGCGGCAGCGAGCTGTGCAAGGGAGGTCGTGGGTACTAGGCCTGGCGCGGCGTGACACTTCCCCTCCGCAACACCAGAGGGCGATGTCGCGAGCTGCGGCACCACCCGCCCACAGGGGCGGCGCTCCATCCCTCCCGCGTCTGTCTCCTCCACGTGGGGACGCAGGATGGCGGCGGCAGTGGCGGTGGGTGTGCGTGGATGGGGGCGGGGGCGCGCGACGGGCGCAGGTGCCCGGGGTCCGCGAGGCGGGAGGGCGGCGGGAGGGGGGACCCTCCTCTCCCCGGCGCGTGGCTGACGCCCGCTGCGCTTGTTGGCGCAGGACGAGGCGGCGGCGCGCGACGTGCAGCGGCTGCTAGTGCAGTTCCAGGATGAGGGCGGGCAGCTGCTGGGCTCCCCGTTCGACGTGCCCGTGGACATCACCCCGGACAAACTGCAGCTCATCTGCAACGCGCTGCTGGCCCAGGTGAGCGGTAGGCGGCGCCTCCCGGGGCGCGCCCGCTGGGGATCAAAAGACCTAAGATCGGGGGGCTCAGGGGCCCACAGTGGGTGATGCACCCCGGCGCGAGTCCATGGGGTGCCACCCACCCCGGGAGAGGGTCAGAAAGATACATGGGCGTGAGAGCGACTACATGCCGACCAGACCATCGCGGTCCACTTGCAGAGAGAGACAGCGTTTGGAAAGCATCGGATG